GCACACCAGTGTAAATACTACTTCAGAAGTTATTTGCACAAAGGCTGGCAAGCCAGCAGCTGAAAGCTCAGCAGCTCCCTGTGCTGAGGGGACTTGCTACAAACTCTTTTGAAGCACACGCAAATCCCAGAACCACAGGAGTAGATTTGTGGGTAGAACACTAACTTGGAGAGCTTTTTTCTCTTGACTGGGCTCTCTGGCTGCTGGCACAATCAGCACCACCATGCTTGGCAGCAGGAATCCTGCACAAAGTCCTGTCTCTGCCTGGCAGGGAGAACCTGCCCAAGTGACAATCCCATGAAGCAGATGGTGGGGCATATGCCAGCTGCCACAGACAGGAGCACAGCTCAGCACCCTGAGTGACAGCTCAGCTGAGAGCTCCTGTTGGATCATATGCGTAACCCAGATACAGTCCAGTTGCACTAAAGCAGTTCCAGAGGAAAGAGCAGACTTCATTTCCTCTCTGCCAATTGGAAGGGACTTAACAGGGCTGTTTGGGGACAAGGACAGGAAAAACTAGAGCTTTTGCATTCCTGCCCAGTCCATATGGCGCAAGTGCCTCATGAGAACGTACTCCTACATTACCCAGCAAAGCTGCACTGCTTGATAGATACTGACTTGTGTTTCCTGGGTATCTAGAGGAAAAGTGCCATACAGGAAAGCTTTTAACCTCTTCCTCTGGCTGTATGTACAAAGGGATCAGCAGTCTTGGAGCAACAGCCTGCCCAAGCAAAGCTCCTGTCCTTGGGAGGCAGGTGGCCAACAGCAGACTTTAATGTCCTCCCTGTGGTATCTCAACCACAAAAATGCGTTCAATCTTAATTTTGCAAGAGTTGAACTGAAACCTGAACCTGTGACATTGGACTAGTTCAGCTGTGTGACCAAGGAGATTGTGCAACCTCTGTCTGTGCTCTTCCTTTAGGATACAGGCGCATGTCTCTGGCCCTGAACAAGACTGGAAGGAGCATTGTGTACTCCTGCGAGTGGCCTTTCTACTTGAGGCCTGTGCAGCAGGTAAGAAGTGCCTCCCAAGGTTTATCCTGGGGCTCAAGTGGGAAAAAGAGAAAAACATTTGAGATTGCAAAACAGCATCCTGAGAAACTTGCTGCTCTCCATTCTGACAGGGACCAAGGCTATAAAATGGAGGAAAAAACTTTTTCCTCCAGAGCCCTGAAGCATTCCAGAACCATTGCTCTGCTGAAACAGATTCAGTAGGATCCTGCAGCACGAAGGCTCAGCCCAGATGGAGTGTGCCAAAAAAACCACAGCATCCATCTGCTTCCTCTCTCTGAGGAGCTAAGTGGCAAACCATTGGCAGTGCAGATACACAGCCTAGCAGATAGCTCAGTGTAACTCCTCCTGGACACAGAATGCTGCAGGCTCAGCCTTACAGGCAGCTCTGGGGACCCTGAGAGGTTTTGTGACATCCTCCACATTGTTCAGTGACAGATTTCTGCCAGCCAGGGTCTGTGGCTGACACCTTGCCCTCCACCCACAGCTGGCTTCTGTGCCACTGTGACAGGATGGTGCCATTCCCTCCTACTGGAATTAAATGCATTACTCACCAAAGGGTGTAAACCCAAGAAATAGCAATAATTACTGGGATATTACAGTTTAATCCCACTGGCTTTGTCACACCTTCAGTAAAATTTTGTAACAGAACTGGTGGTCACAATAGTTCTCCCTAGGGGAGCAGTAGTGTTGTCTGGACCATGTCTCAAGAGTGGAGTTACTGGGCACAAAGCATTCAAGGGAATCAACATGCACTAGATCATCCAGATGGGGATAGAAGCTGTTATCCTGGTTCTCCCCCAAGCTACCTTTGGTCCAGTCTAGCCTTGCTGACACTCCTGTACAGCCACGTGCTCTGTCTAACCACACTCATTGTTCTGGCAGCCCAATTACACAGAGATCAAGCAGTACTGCAACCACTGGAGGAACTTCTATGATGTCTATGACTCCTGGAGCAGCATCAAGAGTATCTTAGACTGGACAGCACTTCACCAGGACACCATTGTGAAGATAGCTGGGCCAGGGGGCTGGAATGATCCTGACATGGCAAGTACAGCAACACTGACCTCACTTGAAGCATCAGCAAAAAAACCTTCCCTCAGCTGTGGGCCAAGAGTGGGGAGGGAGAGAAGCAGGGGAGAAACCTTGAGGGGCAGGACTCTGATGGGACCCTAGGATCAGAATCATAATTAGAAGGTCCAGGGTAGAAAGGGAAAGAGAACTGCAGCTATGGATAGTACCAAGTAAGCACCATCTTTGTGTCATGCAACCTCCACAAGCAGTACCAGCTCAGAACACAGGTGGGGGGGACAGTCTCCCAAGTGCTGATGTCCCACCAGAGCGAAAACCCCTAGATGCATTGCAAGGATCTGAATCCAAAAGCATTCTTCAACACTGCCTAGCCACTTAAAGAGCTTTCTTCACTTCCACCAGGGACTCATCCTAAATTGCCATGCAGTCATGCCTTGCTTTTTCCAACCAGCTGGTCCTGCCCCTGGCACTCAGCCTATCTAGCCAGGCTCCAGAGAGGTCCCACCCTGTGATTTCCTGGTTCTGCTGGCCCAGTTTCTCCTCAGCAGGCAGTGTTACCAGGTATTTCTTGTTTGCTTGTCATAGTTGGTGATTGGAAACTTTGGGCTGAGCTGGGACCAGTCGGTGACTCAGATGGCCATGTGGGCCATTATGGCCGCTCCCCTGTTCATGTCCAACGACCTGCGGCACATCAGTCCTGAGGCCAAGTGTCTGCTCCAGAACAAAGATGTGATCGCCATCAACCAGGATCCACTGGGCAAGCAGGGATACCAGCTTGTCAAGGTACAGCAGGAGAGGGCTGGGGTTGCAGAGTGGGGCACAGATGGGATGGAGAGGTGCTTGGGGTTTGGGAACAGGAGCCCAGTGAGCCCCTTTGTTCCTGAAGCCTGCTGGAACACAGGCATGAAGACCACCGCTTCAGCCTCCCGCAGCCTGAGCCCTGGGTTTGTTTTCTCCTTGACAGGACAAGAACTTTCAGCTGTGGGAGCGGCCCCTGTCTGGCCGAGCCTACGCTGTGGCGGTGCTGAACCATCAGGAGATTGGAGGACCCCAGAACTTCACCTTCTCCCTCACCCTCCTTGGCAATGGGCTGGCCTGCAACCCGGCCTGCTCTATCCTACAGGTGCTGCCAGCCAGCAGGGACTGGGGCGTTTACAGCTGGATCTCCTCCCTGAGCGTGGAGGTGAACCCCACAGGCACAGTGCTGCTCAAAGTCCTGCCACTATAGGCAGCACAGAGACAATCTTTTCCTAAGCCTCAGGCTCTGGCTGAACTTGTGGCAGGAAATTCATCTCCTTCTTCCAAGCAGGTGCCTTTTTTCTCAGGCATTCATTATCTGAACCTTCAGCCTAATGTGACAAATAGCCATCACTCCATCATCAAGAGGTAACAGAGAAAGGATGAACAGCAGAGCAGTGTCCCTTTCCCTGGCATCTCACCCAACTCTTCCTCCAAGGGGATGGAAGGGCCCCAGCAGCGCAGCAACTCCTGTCTACACCCACTGCCACTACCAAGCAAGGAAAGGCAAGGGATGCACAGGCAGCATCTTACAGCTGTCCTTGAGCATTTCAGGGACAACAGGGAAACACACCCTGGCCACCTTGCTCTCTTTTTTCAGACTAGGGCACACAGTCCAAGAAAAGCTGCTCCCACCCCCGCTGAGGAAACCCAACACCACTCGGAGCATGGACATACACTTCCATTTTCTGACAACTCAGGGACTGACATGAACCATTGCACTTCTCAGCAACTTTCTTGACAGCTGCTATCATGCCTTAGGACTCAAGTTTTTGAGGGTTTCCCCTCATTCCAAGAATCTCTCACCAGTGGCTGTCACTTCAGTTTAGATGTCAACTCCTTCTCCACTCTTCATATGGCCACTGCAGTCCCCTTTCTCCAGGAATCCTGCCTCCCAGAAATCCCTGTGTGCTCGCTTCCCACCGCTGGCAGGAGCCTTTAGGTTGAATAACATGGGCTTTCCAAGACAGGAGAATGGATAATCACTTAAGCAACCATCATGTGCAAGTATATTCTCTTCTGACTGCAATACAATCAGGATTTCTTGATTTGTTCTGTGATTAAGCACTTTGATTAAAATCCCTTTAAAAGGCTATGTTTTTTCTTACTTGCAGTGTACAAGAGTACAGCATGATATCTGGAATTGAAACATGGTTTAGAAACCAGGCCAGTTTGTTCCAGTTCTGTAAGTTTTTGTGAAATTTCTGATTACTAGAAACAGCACTCAGTGAAGCTGACATAATACAGCCATACAGTCCACACCACAGGCCAAAGCCACCACTGCCTATACAAATCTGAAAAGGCCATCACATCAGCCAATATTTAATAAGCAAAACCAGATTCCCTTACATTCAGTAACTGAGTGCTCCAAATCATTATGAAGATGTGAAGAAGCAGCTCTCCATCCTCCAGCTCAATTTCCACTATAAGGAAGCTTTCCTTAAGGATGAACTCTGCATTGCATTCCCAGCACCTGCTTGCTACCAGCCGACTTCCTACTCACAGAAAAGTTCCTCTCTAAGGGGAAGCTGTCCCCACAATCTACCACACTCTGTCTGGTTGTTGCCCATTTGAAACTTCACTGCTGTGCTTGGCCTTCTTCCTTCAAGGAGGTGCAGGTACTAAACCCAATGGCTGCTCCAAGGCCTTTGCTCCTCAAGGCAGTACAGCTGTTTATATAAAGGGGCCTACAGCCAAATGCAGGGACTGTTCAGGGGAGTTCATAAACGAGCCTGCACCATGTTCAGGCAGAGGTCACTGGAACCCATTACAAAACACCTCGTGGAAACACAGTAAAGAGATCCCATCCAATGGCAGGCATTTTTCAAAAGCCAGGTTAAAAATTGTTCTGTTAAATGGTTCTGCAAGCAACACCTCCCTCCTGAGTTGATGTACTCACAGCTCCCACCCCAAGAGAAAACACATTAAAAAAGCAAAGGATCAATCTAATTACTTTAATACGGTCCGTAATGATGAGTAGGATGATGCTCAGAACTGGATCACCTGGCCCTGTAAGAAGCAAGAGACAAGAGTGAGTTTATTCACCACTGGGTATTGCCTCTCTTTCTCAGCCACTCACAGAACACAAACTCACCTTTCTCTTCTTGTCTCCTCCCAGCTCAAAGTGCTTGCATCTCTTAATTGCCAGCATCCTCTTGGATCTGCAGTTGGGCTCCACACACTCCAGCCTCAGCACAATCTTCTTGGTGGTCTTGGCCTGGGAGGAGGAGCAAGGTGTTTCAATGAACCACACATCCCCAAGTAGACAAATTGCTGCTCTCAAGGAGAGCTTGTTCCCTGCACTCCTGAACACTTGGTTTGTTCCCAAAGTGTAGAGACTACAAACACAGTGAGGCTCCACTGAAAACAAGAAGACACTTTAAAGATCAGTACAGGAGTAAAGTGGATCTGTATCTCCACAAAAAGGGTACTGGCTAAAGCATTCACTAGGGCAGGGTTGGTTCCTGCAGGGATCAGACATGATGGAGAAGTCTGTTCCACTGAATAGAGCAAGAAACTTGTACGTTTACAGTGTGGGAGCACAGACTAGCAGTGCTCAGGAGAAATACAGAAGAAAATTGGGAAAAAGAAGTATCTGGAAGCAACACAACCAGCAAACTTTCTCTGGAAGGAGCAGTGACACAACAGGCTCAATGCAGCCCTGCAGCTACCCAGAAGTTGGATGAAACCTGGAAGACTGCAGAGGAAAGAATCCAAAACTGGGATGCTGCTGTAGCAGCTGGTCAGGGCTGTAACCACCAGCTAAAAACCTCAGGTAGTCATCCATACAATGCTGACAGAAAAACAGAAATGGGAATTGCAATGTACAGGTAGAGAGTACCAGCACTGCAGCTGCTTGGTGCACCCTGCTTGCAGAAGCGTTTCCTTTCCCCACTTCCTGGCACAAAGTCAACTTGAAAACCTTCTGCCTTATTTTTTACTTCTTGCTGGAAGGTTTCCTGTACACCTCCAGCAGGACACCAGGGCTTCCCAACAACTACCCAAGCAGCTCTATGAGCATAACTAAACAATTCACACAAAGTAACAAATCCACCCACTGGGTTCTGCTTCCCCACTGTAAATACCACACCAAGCAAGCAGACGGCTCCTTTCCCTTTGCCAAGCCCTTCCCCTTGGGCAAGCACTGAAATAAACATTCCTTTCATTGCAAATGTCCCTCCCAGAAAGACCCCACTCCCCTGCAGCATCAAAGCTGAGAACCTGCTCTGCAAACACAGCCCAAGTCACCCTACAAATGAGGAGCATCTCCATGAGACAGGACAACAAGGAGATGAGCCATATATTTGATGGGAGCTTACAAGGGAGCTGGAGAAGGACTTTTTATAAGAGCACAGAGTGACAGGGCAGTGGGAAATGGCTTCACACTGACAGAGATTTAGGTTAGAGAGTAGGAAAACGTTCTTTCCTGAGAGTGGGGAATCCCTGGCACAGGTTGCCCAGAGAAGCTGTGGCTGCCCCATCCCTGAAAGTATCCAAGGCCAGGCTGGATGGGCCTCAGAACAACCTGGGACAGTGGAAGGTGGCCCTGCCTCTGGCAAGGTGGGAACAAGATGACCTTTAAGGTCCCTTCCAACCCATTCTGTGATGAGGAGGGGGTGCCTGCACAGCCAGCACAGAGTTGCCCTAACACAGCCAGAGCAGAGCACTGAGGAATCCTCCCTCAGCTGGCCATGTGGGTAGCCAAGGAAGTTTCCTGTTCCTGAGGAGCAACACTCACTCACCTTTTTACGGAAGATGGGCTTTGTCTGGCCCCCATATCCACTCTGCTTCCGGTCATAGCGCCTCTTTCCTGCAGGAAAAAATGGCTCAGGACAGGCAACAACCAAGGAGATGCTACAAGCACGACTGGCAATTCCTAAATCCCAGCAGAACCAGGGCCTCCCTCCTCCAGCAGCCTCGTGCTTGGCCCATGGCCACAGCTCTTGTACTATCCCCAAAAGTGGAACATTTCCCTCACTGTGCGCCCAGCAGACACACAAGGTCAAAGGACTTGATTTATTTAGAGTTCTATGCAGAGAAGGGTGCTGCATGGTAAATCCTCAAAGCCAGCACACGAAGGGCCAAAAACATTTATACGCTCCTATACAGGTGATATTTGCATAATTAATCCACATCACTACTGGCAGAGCTACCATTAGATTCACTTTGTTTCACCTCGACTTAACACCCAGCACATTGTAAACTCACAGCCCGTGCTCAGCAGGCTTGGGCTCCAGAGTTGTGCTTTTACAGCCAGCTCGGTTCACATTCTCTAATTGCTGTAATGTGCTCACACAGAGCACATTCTCTAATTAGTTAAACATTTCTATATGATAACCATCCCAAACTACGTTGGGATGACAAGTCCTTAGGCTTCCTCCCTTTGTCTTACTTTTTTAGTTCCCTTTATTGTACACAACATCCTTTAGGTCAAGCTGTCCTCCCCAGCCATACAAATGTTTCCAATCCACACCACCCGTGCAGGGCACACGACACCCGCAGCGCACGCAGCTCTCCGGAGCGAGCCCGTCCTCACCCTGCGCGTAGAGCGAATCCTTCCCCTTCTTGTACTGCGTGACCTTATGCGGCTGGTGCTTCCCGCACTTCTTGCAGTAGGTCCGGCGGGTTTTCGGCACGTTCACCTGGAGGAGAAGGAGAGAAGTCGGTCAGGGCCGCTGCGCATACGCCACATCCCGCTCCGAAGGCCCCGCTCCCGCCCTTCCCCTTCCCTCAGGCCCCGCGCTGCCATCCGGGGATGGGGAAGCCCCCGAACCGGCCTGGCCGCCCAACACGCACCCATGGCAGCGGAGGGAGCCCGGCCCGCCGCAGCCCCGGGGCGGATGCGGGCGGATGGAGCCCAGCCCAGCCCCGCCACTCACCATCTCGGCGGCGGCAGCGGCCCAGAGAGGAGGGGCTGGGCGGAAGCGGAAGTGGATGTGGGGTGGGGACCATAGAGAGGAGAGCGCAGGGGAGCTCGGGGCACGGCGCCCCCTGGCGGTGGGAGGAGAGCAGGGCGGCAGCCATGGCGGCAGGGGGCTGGGTGTGGGCCTGGGTGTGACCGGGCTGGGGCATGTGGGATCTGCCGCCTGCAGGTGACGTCCAGGTGTTTCAAAGACAAATTATCTATCAACAGAGTTGTCTTGTTAAGGTTTATGGCTTGACAAGTTTCAGCGATCTCAGACCTGGCTGGGAGTTAACAAGGCTTGGGGAGCAGGATTTACCCCTGATAGTGTGCACAGAGAATTCAGAATTTAGGAGCACAAGAACAATTGGCAGAACTCTCAAGACAAGGATGTAACTAGCAAAGCTAGCTCAACAACTGTGCTGAATCGGCTCTGAGTGGCTAAGAGAGGTTCCAGCATGGGGAGATCACAACACCAACCCACGGACCACCGACCCAAACGAAGAGAAAGACTGAACATGGCTAATTAATATAAGAAGCGAGGGAATCATTTAACACTACAAGTTAGAATGCTAATGAATGATGTCATCTGTAGCCAATGAATATTAATGTTTTCATTTGCAAAAATGTATAAACGGTGAAAAGTTTTGATAGTCACTCTGCTGGCTTTGTGAATTTGCCATCAAGACCTCTTTCTGCACAGAACTGTGAATAAACCAAATACCTCGGTTCTGTTTGGGGATCAGCCTCACGTACATGGGGTGAAAGAACCCATTTTGGGTCAACATAAGGATGGTCAGCCAACACCTGGCACTGCCCACAGCCCAGGCAGGCTCTGGCCATGGCTGGTGGCCTGGTGACCCCACGGCAACAGCCCAGCTCTCTGCAGGAGGAAACAAATGCTGCCTCTGAGTCAGAAAACTAAAAAAGGGGAACCGAAAGGGTGGGGTTGGCCGGCCCCGTCCTTCCTCCCTGCGCACCCTGCCGTCTCTGCTCGTCCCTGCTGCCACAGCCACCCCAACCCGCCGGGGTGGGCACGGCAGGACCCCGGCTGGCCGGAGCGGCGGCGGGAGGGCTCGGTGAGTATGGAGCCCCTGGAGCCATGGCATGGGGCAGCACTGGGCTCTGGGTTCCTGGGCACCGGTGGGGCCTGGCTGATGTGGCTGTGGGACAGCAGGGGGGTTGGGAGACTCCATGTGGCCTGTGCTGGTGGCCTCACACCTCTGCTGAACTCCTCGGGGGCAGGAGAGCCATGCTGAGCACAGGACACACGGGGCAGGTGAGCCAAGCTGGGAGGGCTCTGCCTCGTCCCACAGCCTAACCAGTGCCAAGCAGGTGGCATCTGACCGCGGTCACCTGGCCATGGGGCTGTGGGGCGGAGTGGGGGTGCCAGGGGCTGCAGGCTGTGCTGGAGCAGGGAATCACAGTAGTGTATGGATGCCAGGGACCCCAGGAGTGGCCAAGAACAGGGGTTGGGGTTCTGCTAGTGAGTGTCTTTGGCCGTTCCTCACCTGTGTTTTTTGTGGGCGCTGCTGGGGTGCAGCTCTGGGTTTGCTTACAAGTCTCCCATGCAGGTTTCCCCCTTTATCCCTCCCACCCATCATTTTTGGCACTCTCAGGGTTCAACCTGAAGCATGGGGGCTGTGAAGTTTGTCACTCACACTTTGTTACCCTTCCTATGCAGGGACACAGTGTCCAGTGGCATGAGGCCAGCAGTGCTGGGCCTGGTAGTCTCAGAGCACGCTGAGCCGAGGTGTGAGCACGGCAGGAAGTCACACCAGCTATGGGACACAGGACCTGCTTCCACCCACCCGTCTGCTGTCACAGCACAGCAGTGGTGGCTGTGGGGGTGAGCCCTGTGGGGCACCCACCACACCGAGGACAGGCAGGGACAGAGCAGGTCTGGTGGCAGTGCTGGGGACAGGGAGGCTGAGCCGTGCTGGGGCACAGCAGCCCTCTGAGACACTCATTGTCCTTTCCCCTCTGGCAGTTCCATCCAGAGGACACAGTGAGGATGTGTCCCACCTGCCTGGCACTGCTGGCCATGGCCCCGCTGCTGTGACTCCAGGGAAAGCTCCAGGGACCCGGCACTGCAGTTGGGATGGGCTGGAGCCCAGGGCCCCTCTGCTCAGCTCCTGTGTCTGTACCAGGGAGGGCAACAGGAGCCCTCCTGCTCTTGGGAATCAGCAGCCACACTTTCTAAGTAGGGAAAATGAGGCACAGGGCTACAGGGTGGTTATGGGATCACCTAGGGCTCATCCACCACCCTGACAGCAGTCTGGGGGTCAGGGGCACACCAGCCACCTGCAGGGACCCCAGATCCCACTTGCTGAGGCCTCAATCAGCACGCTCAGGCTGCTGTTTTTTTCCAGAAGTCTGATGACTAATTTTTTTAAGTTGGGGGCTTTTTTTTTTGACCACCCAAACAAGCTGGAAAAGTCTGAGCCATAAGAACCACAAGGAGGGAAGAGGGAAGCCTGGGAGAGGGAATTCTGCTTGTCCCCAGCCTCTCTGGGGGCAGTGGGGCAGGGTCAGTACTGCAGCAGCAGGGGCTGTGCTGGGAGGGTGTGGGCACTGCCAGCAGGTGGGAGAACACCTCTGCTCCTCATCCCCATGCTGGGGCATGCCCTGGAGAGAGGCACAGTGTATGGGACTGGCTCCTGGCATCTTTGTTTCCCACCTGACCCTTGTTGTGAGTGAGCCAATGCCCACCTCCTGTGTGGGGAGAGTAGATGGAATACTCAGCTGGGGAATGGGGGGCTGAACCCCTATCTCTGGCCCACCTCTGAGCCTCCCCCTGAGGAGATGGGCTGTGGGGAGCAGGAGAGAAAAACAGCTTCTCCCAGGTTGCTTTCCAAAGCTGTGCTTATAGGAGGAAAAAAAGGGAACAAGGTGTGGGTGAAGGGGAAGCAGAGACTGTAGGTGGTCAGGCAGGAGACATGGAGCCAGGCTCCAGGGGATCACAGCTCAGCAGTGGTTCCACACAGCTCACTCATCAGCTCCCCAGACTGCAGTCAGGTGCTGGTCACAGCCCACAGCTCCAGCCACGTGGCTCTGGGGGCCCACCTGGGGGTCACAGTTCCTGAGTACACCATGAGATGCATGGGCTGCTCCAAGAGATGGGCCAAGGCAATTTCCAGCCCCTAAAGGCCAGGCAGCAATGGGATGCAGAGTTCTCGTGAGCCCTTTCCTGCCCTGCCCTGCCCTGCCCTGCCCTGGAGAGGCTCAGGGGAGCTTTGCTGATGGCTGGGGGAAGATTTAACCTCTCTGCCTGCTGGCTGGAGGCAGCCCTTCAAACCTGGCCACTGACAAGTGCTGCTCACAGGGGAGGAAGTGTGGTGGAGCTCCATCCCTGCACTCCTGCAGGCTCCGTGGACACACAGGGGAAGGATGACTCTGGGGCTACTCCGTGCTCTCAGCAGCACTGCACTGTGACTTTTCAGGGTCAGGACCTACCCATGGCTTTTTAGGGATTGGTCTACCGTGGCCACCCCTTGCACGCTGCCAAATCAGCACGTCCCCAGCACAAAGTGGCTGCGGTGGGGCAGGAGGAAACAGCCCACACAAGCTCACATGCAGAGCTGGAGGGGAGGAGCACTTGTGGGGTGTCACAGCTGGCTCCGTTCTCCTCTCTGGGGCTCCAGGCTTCCCCCTTTTCCCTCTTTCCCCAGCTCTCTCTGTCCATCTTGCATATCCTGGGGGCCTCTTCAGCAGGAGTTGGAGCCATCCGGGTGGTGGCTTTGTCTGCAGGCTGGTGAGAGGGGCCAGGAGAGGTCATATCACAAACCACCCACACTGACCTGCCCTCACACCTCTGCAGCTGGTTGCTCCTGCTGTGGGGGTCCCAACACCCCCTGTCTGCCCTTGGGGCAAGGGGGAGAGTGCACCTGAGCGAGGTCCAGCAGGCTTTGGGCTGAGCAAGCACCGTGTCAGCATTGTCTTGTCCACAGCAACCCAGTGAGTGCAGCACAGGGGAGACCAGGGGGTTGACATGGCCAGTGTCATCCTGGAGAGCATCTTCTTGAAGCGCTCACAGCAGAAAAAGAAAACATCTCCCCTCAACTTCAAGAAGCGCCTGTTCCTGCTGACGGAGAGCAAGCTGTCCTACTACGAGTATGACTTTGAGCGGGGGGTGAGTCTGCAGCCACAGGGGCTGTGCCATGACAGTGCCCAGGGGTCACTCACTGTCCCTTGCCAGCACGTAGCCCAAGGGTGGTTGGACAGGGAGGGGTGTCGGTTTGAGTCTCTCTGGGTCTCCACGTGGTGACTGTTTGAACCAAGAGTGTCTCTTGCAGCGCCGGGGCAGTAAGAAGGGCTCTGTGGACATTGAGAAGATCACCTGTGTGGAGACAGTGGCACCTGAAAACAACCCTCCCCCTGAGCGACAGGTCCCGGTGAGGAGGGTCCCAGGGTCCCTGCAGCTGTCCCCTCGCTGGGGGAGTAGGAAGAGTCCCTGGGGTGGTGGCAGTGGGGGACAGCCCTGCTGGGTGTGGGGGGGACTCTGTCTGTACCATATCAGGGGTCCAGCTTGATGCAGAGCAGGAGGATGCCAAAAGCTGTGGGCTTGCTCCAGAGGAGATGCCAGCAGCTGAGCAACAGGATGCCAGCATCCATCTCTGCCTCTCTCTTCCAGAGGAAAGGGGAGGATTACAACAACATGGAGCAGATCTCAATCATCGAAAGGTTCCCCTACCCCTTCCAGGTGAGTTTTCGCTGCACCCTCTGCTGATCCACTCTGCCTGGCAGCAGGTCCTGAGGGGAGGACCCCACAGGGGCCTGGGATCAAACACGGCATCACTGCCCCAGTGCCAGGTGTCACTCAACTGCTTGGAGACACTCTGCTGCTGTCCACACTGCATGGGGCAGCCAGGTGAGCCTCTTTGAGCCCTGAGCTCTGTTTAAGATGGAAACCTGCTTCAGAGCTCTGTCCTGCCCCTTTCAGTCCCCTGGCTGATGCTGGAGGGATGCTGGCTGCACACTCAGCCCCCAGCCCAGCTGCCTGCCCTGCTGGCACCCAGTGCACCCCCGGCACACCGAAAGTCAGAGAAGGAAGTGGAAAGTCTCGGGGGAGGGGGCTTATTTTTAACCTCTTTGTCACGGTCCCTCGAGCACCGTGCGGGGCCAGCAGACACCGGCAGGGCTCAGGGTGGCCAAAAGGCTCGGTTCCCCCCGGCAGCCAGCCCTGCCCGCGGTACTGAGGTTCGTGGTCCTGCAGGTGGTCTACGACGAAGGGCCCCTCTACATCTTCTCACCCACAGAGGAGCTGCGCAAGCGCTGGATCCATCAGCTGAAGAGTGGTGAGTGCAGGGGCTCTGCAGCTCCTTTGGGAATCTGTGCCTGACCCACAGTGCCAGGCTCCCAGCAGCTTGCTGGCTCATGGTTACCTATCCCATGCCTGAGGAAGAGTGAGCTGCTCCTGCCCGGGGCAGGTGGGCACTGTCACCCTCTGCAGCACCATGGCTGAGGCTCCTTGCCCTCTCACAAACCTGCTCCAAAGTGGCTCAAGCAGGCTCAGAAATCATTGAGGGCAAGAGGAAATAGCAATTGTGGCCATACAGCTCCGCTGCCTTGGCATGTGAGGGCTGAGTGCCCAGTGCTTTAGGAAACATGGACAACAAGCCTGCTGGGAACCAGTGAGCATCTCTTCCAAACCACCCCGAGCCTTGCTTGGTGATGCTGGGCTAATACTCAGTTGGGTGGGTGCTCCCTCCTGGAGCTGGGAATGTGTTGCACCAGCACTGTGCCAAGGGGCTCCGACCACCCAAAATCTGCTGGAGCCACCTGTACATGCCTCCTGGCGTGTGTGTGTGTGTCTTTCCGTGGCTTTGTGCTGGCAGGGTGGGATTAGCTGCTTGAGTTGACATGGGGAAGTCAGCTCAAGAAAGGCGGAAGAGGGGCAGGCCAATAACGGGGAAGTCGCTTATCTCACAAGAGCCCCAGCAGAGCAGCCAGTCCTCTCCCCACTTCCCTGCTGAGGAAGCAGGGCTGCTCTGGCAGCTCAAGCCAGTGTAGAATCCACAGGGAAGAGAGACAAAATGCTGCCTTTTTGCTGACGAGATGTCCTCCTCTTAGTCCAGCAGAGAACAGGCTCTCTGCACCCCGTGCAGCTGCTGTGGGCCAGCCCCAGGCTGTTGGCAGTGTTTAGGCACATCCAGTTGTCCCTCTAGCTTGGGGACAAGCATGAGGAAACTGCCTGGCAGGGGAATATTCTCCCTGCAGGGGAAGTCTCTGAGCAGGCACAGTGTGGTGGCAGTGCCCTCCTCTCCCCATGGAAAAGCCAGGCACAGCACAGGCCTCCCACCCCACTTCTGGAAAAAAAGGGCTCAAAAGAGCTGTCAGCCATAGGCCAGAGCAGCCTGGGGGTTATTGGATATTTGGGCTGGCAGGAGTCCTTCTGTTACTGGCTCCAAGTGTGCTCATGCCCCTTTGCAGACCTGCTCAAGAGCTTAAATCAGATATGAGAGCCAAGCCTGGCCCTTCCCTGTGGCACAGGGATTGCATAGCCACAGCACTGAAACAAGAGTGGTAAGCTGAGGGAAACCTGAACATCAGGGCACAAGGAACAGCAGCGCAGCTGAGAGGAAATTATTTAATGCAGCTGACCACTTGCATTCAGGGAGCAGAGCACTCTTGCAGCAGGCTGGCTCACACACATCTTCCTCCTCTGCCACAGTGATTCGGTACAACAGCGACCTGGTTCAGAAGTACCACCCCTGCTTCTGGATCGATGGCCAGTACCTGTGCTGCTCCCAGACAGCCAAGAATGCCATGGGCTGCCAGATTCTGGAGAGCAGGAATGGCAGTAAGACACCAGGCACCCTCATCCCCCTGCCCTGGGGGGGCACCCACAGGCAGGGACCGGGATCTTTTCTCACCCTAGCCTCGCCTCTGTTCTGAAGGTTTAAAAGTCGGGCGGTCACATCGCAAGACAAAGAAGCCCCTTCCCCCAACTCCTGAGGAGGACCAGGTAAAGACCAGCATTAGGGTTTGCTCCAAGGTGCTGGAGAAAAGGTCTACCTGGAGAAAGCCAACATGTTCAATGACTGCTGAGAGGTGTACAGGCCAGGACTCTGCTCTGGGGAGCGATGTCAAGATGGTGACTGTCATGGGGTGACCTAAGGGAAAAGGAGCTTGAAGCAGAGGATGGAGCCCAAAGGCCAATAGCAAAGTCAAATGATCTCAACCCTAAGGTTTCCCAGGACAGCTGAGAGAGACCTTTTGGCTTAACCTGTGACTCATCCAGTCTACATCAGTTGATGTAGGACTCATTGGTTAAGCCAAAAGGTAAAGAGAAAACACTTATCTTTTGTGGAGACAGGGAAAAATGTTTTGATAAAAAGTCCAGGGAGACAAAATTGGTGTTCTGGTAGAGATACATGTGGGAGCTGAGACAAACACTGTGCTGACCTTGCCTGAGACCTCTGCCCTGCCAGGCTTGGGAAGGGTCTCACGTGGTGTGTGTGCAAGCCTGACCATGTCCCACGCTCTCCCTCTCCCTGTGGGAAGATGGTGATGAAGCCTGTGCCTCCCAAGCCAGCCCCCAGCACAGCAGGGGAGATGAAGAAGGTGGTGGCCCTCTACAACTACGAGCCAATGAACGCGCAGGACCTGCAGCTGCAGAAGGGCGAGGAGTACTTCATCCTGGAGGAGAGCCACCTGCCCTGGTGGAAAGCCCTTGACAAGAATGGGTGAGAGCTCCCACTGCCCATGGTCGTGGCTCTGCAGCACTGCCCTGCCTTGGTGCTCAGGCACTGGTGGGCAAACACACCCCTCTGGCACCCCTCGGGTGAGGACAGGCTGCCTGCCCACCTGCGGGCTGCCCTGGGGAGGAGGCTGAAGCCAGCTGGGGTATCAGTCCTTCCCAGATGGGCTTGCACCAGGTTTTGAACCCAGTTCTACACAGCCTCCTGAGACGAGGATATCCTTTCCCCTTGGCCTCCTCCATCGGAGTGTGACCAGCCCCTTTTCTCCTGCAGGAGGGAAGGATACATCCCCAGCAACTACGTCACTGAAACCAGAAATTCCCTGGAGATCTTTGAGTAAGAGAGGGCACAGGGACCTGGCGAGTTGCACTTGGTTGGAGACATTTTCCATCTGGTTGTTACCCCTGCACAGCCCATGAGCCCAGCCTGGCTGGGTCATTCTCCCTCTTCCACCTTCTCTGACACCCTCCAGCCCCTAGCAGCCATCCCTGCCCTGCTCTCTGCACCGCCTGGCTGGGCCAGGGTCAGACTGGGCTGTGGAGATCTCCCTGATGGCTGTGTCCCTGTTCCAGGTGGTACTCAAAGAATATCACTCGTAGCCAGGCAGAGCAACTGCTGAAACAGGAGGTAAGTGTTGCCTCCCGAGGCTGGGTCTAGTCTACACACCAGCCCTCCATGGGCTGTTCTCACATTATGTCCAGCATGGCACCAACCCTGGTTTTTCTGGGAGAGGAGTGTTTCCCCAACAGCCCCAGGAACCTTCCCTATCCCAATGTCACCTCCTTCAGGCAGCCAGCTCAAGAGGCTGCCTCCCATGCAGGGATTGGAAGTACGACACACTGCATCCTCTCCAGCCATGCTGTGATCTTCACTCACTTTAAGTTTTGCCTGTTACAGTCACACACAGTCCCCACAACCTCCCAGTGCCCTTTCCCCTTTCTGTTTTAGGGTAAGGAAGGGGGCTTCATTGTCCGAGATTCCACCAGCAAGACAGGGAAATACACTGTCTCTGTCTATGCCAAGTCCTCTGCGTAAGTGGCTCTAAGAACAGCTTCTTCCTCCCTCAGACAGGTACCCCTCACCCCCTGCCTTTCTTCCCCATGGCACTGACCTCAAGTTCTCCCTCTCCAGAGACCCCCAAGGCACGATCCGCCACTATGTCGTCTGCTGCACCCCCCAGAATCAGTATTACCTGGCAGAAAAACACCTGTTCAACAGCATCCCAGAGCTTATCACCTACCACCAGCACAACTCTGCAGGTCAGTGTTCTGGAGCCAGTGTGGAGCCAGCAGTGTTTTCACTGGCACTGCAGTATCCCCACCTTCCTGTGCCAAAGGTAGGAACTGTGTTCCCTGCTGGAATGTGCAGGTAAGCCTAGAGTGGCAATCTGCTGCTGTGTTTCAGGGCTCATATCCAGACTGAAGTACCCTGTGTCTCAGCACAAGAAGAGTGCTCCTTCCACAGCTGGCCTTGGCTATGGTAAGCCACTCTGGGCCACCTCACAGTTGCCTGGTTGCAGGTTTGTTCCTGTTGGCAGCAACTTTCCCAGGCTGGGATCCTGGCTGTCCCATGGCTCATAGCCTTCCCAGGAACCATTTCCCAACTGCCCTCTGGTGACAGTATTGACCACAGACTCCACAAGGTACCTTGCTCCCATTCCCTAGAGCAGCAGGTCTCCGATTCTGCGGATGAATTTTCAGGCAGAAAATGCTTGTGAGCTTTTCTTGGGCTTGCTACACCAGATGACTGGGAGCACCATGCAGGCAGGTAACCTGCACCCGCATGACACTCACACTCTGTCCTAGGGTCATGGGAGATCGACCCCAAGGATCTGACCTTCCTGAAGGAACTCGGGACGGGGCAGTTTGGCGTGGTGAAGTACGGGAAATGGAGAGGCCAGTACAACGTTGCCATCAAGATGATCAGGGAAGGCTCCATGTCAGAGGACGAGTTTATTGATGAGGCCAAAGTCATGATGTAAGTGGTGAGCACTGTGCAGGTCAGTGCTAGATGCTCCTTGCCAGAATGGCTGCACTCCTGGGAGGTGTGGAGGGACAGTCTTGGGCAATCCCATATTCTGCAAAATGCATACAAAATCCCACTAATTTTGTTGCTGATTCCTTGGTGAGGTTTTCCACTGTCAGCTAGGCCAGAAGCTCCTTCTCTTCCCAAACTTTCCTTATTCACAGGTACTTCCTTTGCTGTCTGGCTTTCTAGATGCTCAGAATTGCCTTTGTCCCCAACACAGGAACCTGTCTCATGAGAAGCTGGTGCAGCTCTACGGGGTCTGCACTAAGCAGCGTCCCATCTTCATCATCACTGAGTACATGGCCAATGGCTGCCTCCTGAACTTCCTGAGGGAAACACGGCAGCGGTTCCAGCCTGCTGAGCTGCTGGAGATGTGCAAGGATGTCTGTGAAGCTATGGAGTACCTGGAATCCAAGCAGTTCCTGCACAGAGACCTGGTAGGGCTGTGGCTGCTTTCTTCGGGCAAAATCCCACTGGGGAAGTCGCCCCTACACAGATAAATAGGATGCTTGGAGGCCTCGGTTGCTCTCTGCTGAGGACTTTCTAGCTTGCCCCAGTCCAGGTGTACTTGCAGGACAAAGTGAGGTCAAGTGTTCAGTGGGTGGGGATGAGATGAAGTTTACCTGCTACAGGGGGATGGGAGAGGCAAGAGCGGGTAGAAGTAACTGCCTTCACCTCTCTATTCACAGGCTGCTCGAAACTGTTTGGTGAATGACCAAGGAATTGTGAAAGTGTCAGATTTTGGTCTTTCCAGGTCTGGTAGATGCGTCTGTGTCACTTTGCTGTGTCTGTCTCAGTAATCCATCTCCTCCTTCCATCAATTTTATACTTTAGTCTTTGCCCCTACCACCCTCCAGCTCTGCATTCCCATTGTCTTCCCATTTCATTTGCCTGGCTCAAACTTCTGCCTCTCCACTTTCCACCATCCCTTTCTTACTTCCCCTGCTCCCTTTCCCCCCTCTCTTTGCATCTTGTTTCCCCTACCTCCAGTCTCCTGGCTGCAGCTTTCTCTCCACATCCCCCTTTTTCTGTGCTTCCATGTCAGCCAATCTCTTCTGCAATCCTGACTAACACACTTACTGCTGAAACCCATGCAGAGCTGCAGCCTCTGATCATTCTGAGCTGCCCATTCCTTTTGGGCTTGGTCAGTTGTGTGGAGGAGCAAAACGTGAAGTCCAAGTGAGGCACCCTGACCCATTTTCCTGCTGCAGGTACGTGCTAGATGATGAGTACACAAGCTCCATGGGGTCCAAGTTTCCAGTGCGGTGGTCTCCTCCTGAAGTGCTGCTGTACAGCAAGTTCAGCAGCAAGTCTGACGTCTGGTCCTTTGGTAAGAGCACAGCATTGATGATTTGGAGGTTGGGAACTGCTCTGCCAACCAGCTGCAGGCACAGGTGCTCCCATGCCATGAGCTCTCCCTGCTGTTCCCCCCAACAGGTGTCCTGATGTGGGAAGTTTACTCCCTGGGAAAGATGCCTTACGAGAGGTTTAATAACAGCGAGACAACTGAGCACGTCATCCAAGGCCTACGCCTGTACCGGCCGCAGGCAGCCTCGGAGCGGGTCTATGCCATCATGTACAGCTGCTGGCACGAGGTGAGTGGCTTTCACCCCCGGTGACACCTCTGGCCACCCTGGTGTAGCTGGGGCAGACACGGGCTCCAGCCAGGCTCTCCTCTCACCCCACAGAAGCCTGAGGAGCGCCCCACCTTCAGCGCGCTGCTGGGCAGCATCCTGGACATCGCCGATGAGGAGTGCTGACCATGGGTCCTGCCTGCTGACCTCTGCCCAGCGCTGCCACTGCCCAGCAGGACAGACCCACACACGGCTGGTACCGTGGCACGGTTGTCACAGACACGGCACGGGCGTGCAGAAGCCTGGGGGACCCGCACAGCCATGCCCACAGCTCTGTCACAGGCTCAGAGCTCCATCACATCCCCGGAACTCCATCACCGCCCTGGAGAGCCATCACATACTCAGATCTCCATCACATACTCAGATCTCCATCACATTCCCGGAAATCCATCCATCCCCGGAGCTCCATCACATACTCAGATCTCCATCGCATCCCCGGAACTCCATCACACCCCAGACCTCCATCACAGCCCGTGGCCCCACCGCTCCGGGGGGTCCCGCTCCGGTGCGTTCCCGGCCAATAAACCATTCCACGGCCTCCCGGCTGCGGCCGCTCCGCCCCGCCGGCAGGGGGCGCGGGCGGGCGGGCG